AAAACACACAAAAAAATCTTTCATGTCATTATGGGGTGCCGTGAGTAGAATTTCGAGGGGAAAATGTATTCGATTTTGGAATGAGGCTGAAACATAAAATGTGTGTGAGTGTGTGTGTGTGTGTCTGTGTGTGTGTGTGTGTGTGTGTGTGTGTGTGTGTGTGTGTGTGTGGGGGGGGGGGGCACTGTGAATACTTGCAAGATGCACTGTAATTGAAATGTCGACAGATGAGATCAGATAACGTATTACCGGTAGATGTATTTTTTCCTCTCCCTGATCGAAGGATCCAAGCAACCTTCCCCAAAGATCCTAATGAGAGCCCCTAGTGGGCGAGTCAAAGAAAAACAAAGACTTCAAACAACACCCCTGTCTGATTTCAACAGGAAGGTCACTTGAAACACATTCTGGTATTTAAAAAGGCCACGATCAGGCAGGAGGAATACAATTGTCCCTGATAAAATTGGGATTTGCTTCTTTTAACAGCATATTCGATTTGTAGAACTCTTTTGTACTGCAGAGTTTTCTAGTATAGCTCAAGAGTCTATGGAGGAAAAAAAAAGAAAGAAAAAACGAGGGGGCCTTAGAGGGTTAAACCAGCAAGGTCACTCAGGCTTAACCCTACATTTTTGCTTCGACTTTAAATCAAGCAGCAAGGTAACCAACAGTATAAGTCAGCTAGCTGTCTATTTAGAATGAGCAATGTAAACCAGACTACGAATGAGCATGCAGATGATAGATCAACAACATAATGGACAGCTACTAAGACTGGATGTGTTTAAATTAGTCCTATCAGTTTTCAGAACAAGCAGCGTCATTTGTAACTTATTAAATACACTGTTGTAGTAAAAGACAAAATCCAAGTCACCTGGACCCCAATGGCGGGACTATTTGGCGATGCCTAAGGTCAGGGGTGCCCAAACTTTTTGGAACGAAGATCTACTTTTCGATCAACTAACCTCCCGGGATCTACCCTTACCGGCATGCACGCGCACGCGCTCACTCACTCACTCACTCACTCACTCACTCACTCACTCACACTCACACTCACACTCACACTCACACTCACACTCACACTCACACACACACACACACACGGCATGATGAGCAACAGCCTGACATGGAGGCATGCGACGCACTTTTGCAGCCTGTTAACTATCGTAGCTCACACGTACCATTTTAAAGTGCTTCCCTGGGCCCTCCTAGATTTCTATTCTTTGCCCGCGCCCTCGGTGAATTGTACACGAAGCAAACTCTGAATGAGAATCATGACGATAAAAGATAGAGCGCAACAGCTCTGATCACAAGCTGCAATTGCAGACTGCTGAGCGCTAACAACTTGCAGGGACGTAATCACACGCCATCGTAAATTCAAGATTTACCTGCTTTATTTTATTTTTCAAATTTTTTTTGTGAAAATGAGACTGATAGGATGATTAGGGTGCAGCGCACATTAACACAAAAAAATATATTACTAACATGTACAAAGACACACAAATGGTTGTTTTTTTTTTTTTTTTTTTTCCTCGACACTCCTCGGATCTACTTGGGACCTGTCTTAGATCTACCGGTAGATCAGGATCGACGTAATGGGCACCCCTGCCTAAGGTCATGTGTAGCTACAGCCTGAGGTGGCATGGAAAAAAAAACTGCAAACTGAAGTTTCATTGAATGACACAGGATCTCTTTCAGGATGTAATTTCTTGTGTTTATGGGGCTTAGGAGAGTCTGTGTCAAGTGTGCATAAATTCAACAGGTGCTAAGACACCGTGGATTATAAAGTATTAAACTGACACTGTTTTTGTTTATTTTACTAAATATTCAGTGTGTTTAAGCAGCTCGCCATGCAGCATAAGTTTATCCAAATGGTTACAGCCCTGGCACACATGGATTGTGAAGATTCTTGCACGCGAATGCTGTTCTCAGACATTAGCTTAGTATTAAACACAATCATTCCTCAGTAGGTCGTACAAAAACCCGATCACTTAGGACTTCATGTGTTTCTCAGCAACTGGGTGCTGGACTTTCTCAGCGGAAGACCACAAAGCGTGCAAGTCGGCTGCAACTCCTCCAGGACCATCACACTGAACAGTGAGGCCCCACATGGGCGTCTGCTCAGTTCGCTGCTCTCTTCTGCGACATGACAAATATGTTGCAACCTACAGCACCTACCACATCATAAAATTTCAGGACGCCAAGATGGTGGTAGGCGTCATCCTGAACACTGCAATTGTCTTTTTTTTTTTTAAACCTCAACTGAAACATAAAAATGAATACATTGCCATGTCAACAAATAAGTAACAAAGAAAAGGAAAAAATAGGAACCAAAACAAAAAAGAAAAAAAGAAAAAAAAAAAGGGTCCTTGTGATATGTAACTAACATTTACCACAAAAAAAATGGAGCTCCTTTGAAGTCTCCTTTAATTAAACAGGCTTTTAAACTTGAAATATCAGAAACAAAATCCTTAAAAAGAATAATGAGGGGGGAAAAAAGCGTCTGTGCATGATCCCGTGAGAGAGAGGTTAACATCAGAAGCAGACTGGTCATCATAGCCCAGCCTTAAGGCAATAAATACCCTGCGAACAAGACAGCACTTATTTTGCTCCATACATTCGCGTAGTGCTTCCAATCCCATCTTGAATGGCACCTTTTACGACAACCGCAAGCAAGTATTATCATAGACAACATTTACATTATGTAATACAAAGACACCTTGAGTATGTCGACGTCGCAGCCATATTGGATGTGGCAAATTGAAGCAAATTGTGAAAATGCTTCCTCTTTGGAGATTTATCATTAAGCAAAAACTCACTGGATTAACACAGAATTGTTGCTTTTTTTTTTTTTTTTTTTTAAATGTATCATGCTATCCTAGCTCAGTTTTACGATGCTATTTGCCGATTTTCTGGTTCCTATTAAAGCCACATACAATATGGCGGATGGGCTGATATATCGCTTAGACCCGGTTCAAAAATTGTCTGCTTCACTTTTGAAAGGAAAAGAATATTGATATTCATTTTAGATTTCCTGAGTTGTTGGCTCCCATGGAATCTTGTATTGAACAGTTCAAATGCCTCTTTAGTTGCCGACACTAATTTAACGTGTCCTTTCTCACTTGCACAGTACAGTGATGCAACACAACAGTCTAAACCCATAATGTAGGACTTTACATATCGCCTAATGTGCCAAAACTGCGATCGATGGTCACTAACATTTATGTTGACATCTTTACTTAAAGCTCACATCATTCTCTGAAAACATTAGAATAATCGCCCAACTTCCGTCCTTGCTTAGTCTGTCCCTTTTAAAATTCTTCATGTCGTCTGTCCTCCGTCTTAAAATTGGGTGTCTGCTTGGACCATTTCATCCAAGGGAGGCAACGCCCATCTCTGGTTATTGAATTATTTTATTATGAAAAACTGATGTGTTATAGAGAAAAAAACAAGGGCAGGCTCAGAATCAGAGCAAAAACATCTATCTAGAAAAGTGTACTTGCATCTGATTAAAACAAATAATAATAATTAAAAAGAAAGTGTTAACCAGCGTCGTTCATTGCTATCCTCAGACGATCAAGATGAGATGGATCAGGATGAGGAACTGTGAGCAGCCGCAAAGTCATCCTGTGGAGGATCACGCGTATTCAAGTGCGCCCACCATCACTTGAGATGCATGATCTGTATGGGGGATCTGTAGGTCACACTGGCCCTGAGAAGACTAATGACCTCCCTCTAATCTGTAGCATAATGAAGGGAGGGGGGATTTGTCTCTAGCTGATATAGTGGCCAAGACAGAAGAATTGATTTGAGTTTTAAATTCTTAGAGATCCTTGAAAGGTTTGAGGACACACTCAGTTTATGACCCTCCTGTGGGATCTGATGTTGATGAGCCTTCGTGAATGTGGTGGGTTTTTTTTTTGTTTGTTTTTTACGCTTCTTGTGCCCACCTTCCACTTTCTCCGTACATCAATGTATGATGTCCCGTCTTTCCCCGTATTACTGCATTCTCCACCTCAATTGAAAACATATACCCGACACATACACACGTTTTTTATGAAGTAAAAATGTCATTATTTCAGAAGTGTGTTGTAACTAGTTAGATTTTTATTTCTGTAAGCTTCCTGAAAAAGTGCACTTTTAAGAGTAATTTCAATGCAAACTGTTTTTTACTTTTAATGTATTATTATTGCTCTTAAATAATAATACTTTTAAGATTTTTGGGCTAGTCTACCTACCTCTGTACATCATTAAACACAATGAAAATGAAAACTAAAACTACCAGAACTCTCAGCATTGACTTTCTGAGGGATGGCAGCAGAATGGTTGCAACATCTGCTTTTTCCTGAAACACAACATCATCTTGCTCTTTGCACATGACGTTTCTAACTGTGACGACTGATGTTCCAACATGGGTCAAGTCGGCAACGCTCATTGAAAGCGGACTACAGTGAACAGACAATATAAAGAAAAGGCCGGTTCGGATTCCGCAAGTCGTGCTCATAATTCACTGTGGATAAATTGAATTTCAGCCATAATCGCATGCAATGCCAAGAAAGAAAGAACTCGTGACATATCAAAGTGTATTGAAGGCTTTATGTCCTGTATCTCGCCACTCAAGCCATTCTATTACTACACAATCAATGAACTACATGACGCTCACAAAACGTGACCGCAACCATTAGGGCCGTTTTGCACTGCCTGTAATAGCAAAGATATGTGTGTGTGTGTGTGTGTGTGTGTGTGTGTGTGTGTGTGTGTGTGTGTGTGTGTGTGTGAAGTTTAACACCATGGCACAGTTCTCACTGCTGCCATATCTTACATGAAAAACTAATACTGAACTGTCTGCAGTGCAAATTAAGTCCCCAAAAAAATAATAAAATGGCAGTGCAGAGAACTAGTGAACTCAACTTTATCTATAAAGCAAATTAAAAAAAACAACCACAGCTGCATTTATGTTACAATGAAAATCCCTCTCGCCTCAGTTAACCGCTGTTAACTTGTCTTACCTGGCAAAGCCGGTGCGGTAGGTAGGGGTGGCTGAGAAGGCCTCAGAGGGTTTATTCAAGCCTGAGACTGGCCCGGGAGTCAGTCCTCTGTTCCAGGGTGCACCAACGGTGGCAACAGGAACATACTGGCAGGTGACAGACTTCTGATCCTTAAGCGGCTGCGAATCGAGTCCATAGTGGAAGCTCTGACCTCCAGAGGTGCTCACCCCGCAGATGGAGATGGGACTAGATGTGGGCAGGTCAGGGGATGTGGTGCTGCTTATCTGGCAAAAAGACATCTTCTCTTGTTTAATCACACCTTGAGTGCAGAGCTGAATGAAGTCGCCATCTTTTTCTTTCTTCACCATTGTGGTGGGCGACGTTAAGGTTGTGGATACGCTTGAGCTGGACTGATCAGGATTGATAATGTTGTTGTTGCCATTGAAAGCAAGGGGGCCACTGCTGGCAGCGCTCTCAGCGGTAACAGGCTTGATTTCCTTCTCCGGGGTGACGTCCACAAGCAGAGCATCATCTGCTAGGGTGGACAGGAAGGCGTCATCCCCTACATAAAAATCCGATGGGGAGCCGGTGAGCTCAAAGTCACTGAGCAGATCCAGAGTGTTATCACTGAATAACTTCTGGTTCATGTCGATGTCTTTGCCAATGTGCTCAAAAGCATGATCAAGGTCAGTAGGATCATGACCTATTTTATCCAAAGAGAAATCCTCAGTTTTCATGGTGAAAAAGCTAGGATCTGATCCTCCGATAAGGGAATCCATGGAAGATGGGGTTAGGTGTGCTGTTCTGCCCCCTGACTGCATCAACTTCTCCTCGAAGTTGAGGCGGCTAGATGAGACCAGCTTCTGATCTTTGGTGAGGCCCTTATGTTGTGGCTCTTCCTGCAGCGTGCTAACAGTGGCAGTAATGGAGGAAGACGTGACTTCCACTGGCGCAGGGCTGCTGTTGAGGCCGTTAGACTGTCCAGGCTGCATTAATAGACTGGATGGGAGAATAATAGAGGCCGAAGAGCTGCTTGCACTGTGAGGGGCCACTGTCAATGAACTGCTCCTCTCTGGACTTTTGATGTAGACCAGTTTACTTGTACAGTCATCTCTGCTCAATGTTATGTTTACTTCACCGTTGTCCATCTTTTTGTACAGAGAGAGAGAGAGAGATTGAAAGAGTGTGATCAGACAAGTTGCAGGTTGGACAGTGTCTACAGTCAATTTGACCTTGTGTTCCTCATTCCACTCTATTGTCAACCATTCCGTTCCCTTTTAAGCATCTTTGTACACTAACACTGTTTTTTTTTTCACACGGGCTAGTGTGATTTAAGCAAGAAAATGTGGTACTCAAAGGCAGCAGGCGCGTGGGATGGGTTTGTTCTACCTTATTTATTAAAAGGACTTTGTATTCCTGTATATATATA